TTTGGCTTGATTTCGAAGGAATGATGATTTCGAAAGTGTGTGTGAGGGGGGTCTCGCATCTTGGGCGGCTTGCTCTATCCACTGATTTTACAAGCTAGAGAAACGGAGGGAGAAATTTTGCATCGCTTGCTCGCCTTTGGCCCCATTTCAAGCGGAGAGAAACGGCTATAAATGCCGAACTTTCGAGGCAGGCAAATGCTAAATGAGGGCACTTTCTTCGTCTAAATAGCTAGCCTTTTCTGACAGAAAGACCTTATAGAAAACTAGTAGTTTAAGTAGCGGCAAATCGTTTTAAGATATCATTAATTGGGGGAGAGGACAGCACCAAATCCGTGTTTGTCCCGTTTCCATTGCACGTGCGCCCTAGCAGTGGATTACCTTATCCTAGACACTTCGGGCATCGAAACTGTGGTAAATGCTAGTCAGGATCGTGGGCCAAGTAACACACGTGGTCGGTATCCGACAGCAGCGCATAACTTCTGTTTTATATGGGACAATTCTGAGCGGTCAAATGGAATGTGTGTGTGAATTGTATTGGATCCTGAAATCTCCCAGGTGTCTGTTGTACTGTACAATTCATCCTGCGACCTGTGCAAATTTTTCGTGAGTGAATCAATTCTGGACACTGCTAAGCATGAGTGACATTTTTCTTTGCGCTTCTATTTCTTTTTTAGTATTTAATAATTAGAATTTTGGAAGTTAATTTATGAGGAACGCTCAGTTGTTTTGATGTTTAAATGCATTTGGACTTAAGGTAATAAAGGAGAAATATAATTTTTTAAAGTTCATTGTTAGACTTTACCTCACAAATAAGATTAATAGATGACAAAATCTTCATTGTATAACGAGAGAAAGTATCACTGAATTAATGATTACAGAATATATTATTAAGGTATTCAATTAACCGATTGCTAAATGATAGGAAATGCATAAAATTATTATATTACTTTAGAGGGCTGTTTGTATGTCCCTCAATTTAAAATATGAATACTTTTCAAAGAAAGTTTTTGTTTAAGACTGGCTATTATCCCAGCTTCCTAAATATTTATTCAACCTAGAAAATTAATAAATATGTTTATTGTTACATTTTTGTATGTATGTATTATTATTTTATTATCTACTACGATCACTCCATATGTTTGAACAGTAAAAGGCTTAATTCAGAAGTCAAACAACAGAAATCAGAGTTAATTTACAAAATTTTCACAGGACTAGTTTCGATGGTTTTACCGAACCATCATCTTCAGCTGCAAAACCGCAAATGAACAAGATAGGAAATAATGTTCAGATAAGATAAGAAAGCCTGGACAAGAATAAGCAAATGGCGCCATCTGTTGGCGAAACCAGAACTAAAACATAATTTCTCTAAAAGCCGAAGGCAAATTTGGATTGGAATTAGGATCGTTAACTAGAACAGAAAGATTTTTATGAATGTGAAATGCCTCTAGAAAATCCAGTTCTCCAATGGAAGATGTTTTTTGAATAATTTTGGCAGCAGAAAAATTGAAAGTGTGATTTTCGGACCAACAATGTGAGCAACAGAAGACTTCTGTGTTTCCTTTTTTCTAACATATGCCTCATGTTCTTTGACGCGAAATTTTAAGGCTCTCTTAGTTTGGCCAATGTAAATTAACCGCACTGGCAAGGAATCCTATAAATACCCCAGGATTCATATCCGGAATGGGGTCCTTGAGTTAGAAGTTGGAATTTTATTGATGGGAGAGTAAACAACCCGAAAGTTAAATTTCTGCAAAATATGTGCAACTTTATAGCTAATTGATGGAAAGAAGGGAATGACAACAGAATTTTTATAATCTCCTAAAATAAGAATGTGGCTTTAGTGTGTTGAGATGAGAATTTTTTAACTGCTTGATTAATAATGTTGGGTGAAAAGCCCTGTCAATAGCTATTGCTTTTAAATAATTTAGTTCTTCGTCAAGGGCTAGTTTGGAGGAGCAAACTTGAAGAGCACGGGAAACATAGGAATAAAATGAAGCTAACTTTTTGTTTAGTCGGATGACATGATTTAAAGTGTGGTGGAAGGCAAACCGAAGAAGGTTTACGGTAGACTGTAGTACTCAAGTTGGATGTGTTACGTGTGACCAGAATGTCGAGAAACGGAAGAGAATTGCAAGTCTCAAGTTCAAAAGTGAACTGAATAGCAGGATCAATAGAATTCATTGTTGAAAGAACTCTATTTAAATCATCTTTATTACCTTCAAACAGGGTAAAAGTATCGTCTACGTAGCGGAACCATGCCGGGAAGTTTAAAGTTTCAAACAATTTTGATTCATAATAATGCATGTAGATATCAGCCAGGATGGGACTGAGGGGGCTTCCCATGGCTAATCCCTCAGTTTGCTTGTAATATTTATTTTGGAAAACAAAATGTGTTTGTTTCAAACAGAGTTGAGTGAGAGAAATTAGCTCATCAATTTCGATGCAAGAGAAATGAAATTCGCGAAGTCTGGTTTCTGGACATCTTAATGCACCCTCCACTGGGACATTGGTGAATCTCTTGCATCGAAATTGATGATCTAATTTCTCTCACTCAACTCTGTTTGAAACAAACACATTTTGTTTTCCAAAATAAATATTACAAGCAAACTGAGGGATTAGCCATGGGAAGCCCCCTCAGTCCCATCCTGGCTGATATCTACATGCATTATTATGAATCAAAATTGTTTGAAACTTTAAACTTCCCGGCATGGTTCCGCTACGTAGACGATACTTTTACCCTGTTTGAAGGTAATAAAGATGATTTAAATAGAGTTCTTTCAACAATGAATTCTATTGATCCTGCTATTCAGTTCACTTTTGAACTTGAGACTTGCAATTCTCTTCCGTTTCTCGACATTCTGGTCACACGTAACACATCCAACTTGAGTACTACAGTCTACCGTAAACCTTCTTCGGTTTGCCTTCCACCACACTTTAAATCATGTCATCCGACTAAACAAAAGTTAGCTTCATTTTATTCCTATGTTTCCCGTGCTCTTCAAGTTTGCTCCTCCAAACTAGCCCTTGACGAAGAACTAAATTATTTAAAAGCAATAGCTATTGACAGGGGCTTTTCACCCAACATTATTAATCAAGCAGTTAAAAAATTCTCATCTCAACACACTAAAAGCCACACTCTTATTTTAGGAGATTATAAAAATTCTGTTGTCATTACCTTCTTTCCATGAATTAGCTATAAAGTTTGCACATATTTTGCAGAAATTTAACTTTCGGGTTGTTTACTCTCCCATCAATAAAAATTCCAACTTCTATACTCAAGGACCCCATTCCGGATATGAATTCCTGGGGTATTTAAAGGATTCCTTGCCAGTGCGGTTTAATTTACATTGGCCAAACTAAGAGAGCCTTAAAATTTCGCGTCAAAGAACATGAGGCATATGTTAGAAAAAAGGAAACACAGAAGTCTTCTGTTGCTCAACATTGTTGGTCCGAAAATCACACTTTCAATTTTTCTGCTGCCAAAATTATTCAAAAAACATCTTCCATTGGAGAACTGGATTTTCTAGAGGCATTTCACATTCATAAAAATCTTTCTGTTCTAGTTAACGATCCTAATTCCAATCCAAATTTGCCTTCGGCTTTTAGAGAAATTATGTTTTAGTTCTGGTTTCGCCAACAGATGGCGCCACTTGCTTATTCTTGTCCAGGCTTTCTTATCTTATCTGAACATTATTTCCTATCTTGTTCATTTGCGGTTTTGCAGCTGAAGATGATGGTTCGGTAAAACCATCGAAACTAGTCCTGTGAAAATTTTGTAAATTAACGCTGATTTTTGTTGTTTGACTTCTGAATTAGTATTTATTCGGCGTGTTATTGTGTCTTAATTAGTAAACGGCTTTTATAATACTTACTTGGTTTGATTTGTAAAAAACAAAAAGGTCGTACTAACTACTTATTTAGATGATTACTGAGGAATTTTGACTGATACAGGTTACCGCGTAATAGTTGAATTTATTGAAATATTATTATTTTCCTGAAATGGATTGATTATGTAGCGATATTGCATGTCGCATATCAATTCATTAAAAATGTAGCTATCTCTAAGGAGTTAGGAATTATTGTGTATTTAATTGGGGGTGATTTAAGGTCTTAGTACTTTTTTAAGAAAAATAACATTCTTATGGAATTTGATATTGAATTGCTATTGCATTAGTTGTGGAAAACATAAGCTTTGATTTTTATACCAAGGCACCAGAGAAGGTTTAATCTTCTTTATTTTCAGGCTATAGAATTAATAAGTTTAAACTTTGAATTGAGTTAATTTGCTTTTTTTTAGTTTATGATTTAGATCAATCATCCAATTCCTCATAGTTCATGCAGATAAGAAATTTATATTTCAATTTATTGTCTGCCGGCACTAGTAGAAAGAATGTTTAGGTTAGTTTAATGTTTATTTAATTATAGTTTTTATATTTAATTAATTAACTTTTTTTCTATATAATATCAGCACACACTATTTTAGTTTCATCATATTTATTTCAGTAGTTAATTTCTGTCGGGGTGCATTAAGTCATGAACTTCGGTAAAGTTCTACTTGCTTAGTTTGTGAAATTAGTGAATTAAGTAAAAGTTTTATAAAAGCTTGTAAATTGAAAATTCTTTTCATGGGATATTTTATGTAACTCTTGTGAAAGTAAAAAAATAAACACCTCACACAGATACAAAAAGAGGCATCAAATTACACCCTTTTTACACTTTATTTTGATCCATTATTTTTTATTATTTAAGGAAGTGGAGAGAAGAAACAGGTTTCAAACACATGTTTTTCTTACGAATATTCCAGAAAATTTTCATATTAGCAAGGAGAATTTGAAAGAAAAAAAAGAAAGGATGGAAGAGCCTGTTTCTTTTGAAAGAAATGCCAATGAAAATTGCTGCGTCACTCGTATTAATAGCATTACATTGCTATTCTTTAATCGTGGGGATAGTACATATAATATCTCTCTCAATAATTTCAAAGATAGGATAAAAAGAATAAAACATTCGATGCACAGAAATTTGAACATCATCAACAAAAGAACATTCCAGACCACAAATATAAAGGTTCCAGTAAAGAACCAGTAGTGTGAAGTGAACAGAATGGCAGGCTTTCGTCCAGTTTTGTTTCTTGCTCTAGCCTTACTGGCATTATCTTTCTGGTTATCTCAAGCAGACGATGATCCTCCACCTCCACCTCCTCCTCCCCCTCCTCCGCCGCCGCCACCACCACCACCTAAGTCTTCTGGCTCTGATGGCTTTTCCCTTATGAAAGCCGGATCTGATTTATTAAATACCGTCAAAGAAATCTTAGGGGTTTAGCTTAATTTGCAAAAAAGGTAATTTTTTTTCATTTAAATCATCAAAACCACTTTTCTTTTATTATTTTTGAAAAAACTTTACGTTATAGTTGTTATTTCTTACGTATTCTGTATGCTGTATAATTTCTAGTAATACTATCGATGCTATACGTACACTTGTTATTGAGTGAAGCATGTATTTTATAAAATCAGAAGTGTCGGAGCCTCGTGAAAAGGTTTTTAAATTCAAAGAGAAATAAATAAAGGAATAATGATAGATAAAAAAAAATTAAGAATTAAAATTAAATAAAATGTAAAAAGAATAACTACAAATATTTATAAATCAGTTATATTTAGAGAAATTATAAATTAAATTAAGCTAAAATTATAAAAAATTATAAAAATTATAAAAAATTATAAATTAAATGAGATGTTACACGGACAATAAAAGAATGTTTCTAAATAACATTTTAAAAAATAAACTCCTTATTCGTTTTATCTACTAATTCAGTTAAAGCCTCCTGGAAGAGACAATATTTCTAAATGGAGGCTTTGTTCCTCAGTTACTCTTTTTATGTATTTTGCTTTTTGAGAGGAAACGAAGTAAAATGTAGTAGTAATACCAATAATCATCGATCTCCGTTTTACTAACCGTTAAAATAAATTTTAGATTAATTGTTGAAATATTCTGTTAACGCTAATCATTTGTACAAAATAATGCTGGAACCAATCGCACTTAGGGCTCCAGAGGGAGGCCAGAATTTCATGATTTCATTTAAAAACAGAGAGGTACAGAAGCAGAATACCAGTGGACTCTGGATGAATTTAAGCCCTGGTTATACGACGTTATGTCAAATATTTATGCTTAAAGGATACATTTCTAAACCATAATAGAAAGAACTCTAATATTGTATGACATGGCCGTAATCTTAAAGTTTCAGAGGCAGTATTATTTATACACACACACGTACTATATATATATATATATATATATATTATAATTAATACAATACAAATGAAGTAGATCATAAATAATATTCAATAATGTGCTGCAAGCTGCAGCAACTAACAGTGCAGTTCTTGCACTTACTGAGTAGTATTGAAAAATTAAAACATTTAAGTACAATACGTATTCAACATGGAGCAAGTCAATGAAAAAAAAATTGCTTCAGCAAGAAATCACTCTGAATAAATAAACTAATCTAGTGGTGAGATCAATAGTATACAAATGCTTAAAAAGAAAAAACAAATTTGCAGAAAGGTCTCAAATCAAAAGGTAGTACAAATAATAAAGAATAAAATGTATGAAAATTTTCATTTCTTGACCCATTGTGGTCAGGAGGTTGGTGTATCAAGAGAAGCAAAAGGAGAAGCCTGTTTCTTAACTGACCGCACAACTTTACTTGTTCTAAAATTGCAATAAACTACAAAGATAATTATACCGATAAAAACTGCAATTCTTTGTAGTTTACTGTAGTTTTAAATTTGGTAAATGTACGTCATTTTCAGTTCAGAAACAGGCGATTCTATTTGCATCTTTCGATACACCAACCTCCAGAAGATGATATATAAGAGATGTGAATTCTTTACATTTTTTATTCTTTATTATTTGCTGTACCTTTTTTGTTTGCACCATTTTTTCATTTTCTATTTTTAGTCCAAAGGGGCTTTGTACCTAAAGGACTATTGTTTTCGTTTTGCGATTTTGCAGTGGTTCACTATAAATGTCCGTTTCACTTTTCATACTGTTGCCACCAAATGTGCTGCATTATATTTGAAGAAATTAAATAATAAAAAATTTGCATAAATGTATGTATATTTCTCGCATTGTGATAAAACAACGGTACATAGAGCCGTCGAATTTTGAATGACGTAATTCTCCTACGAATATGGGCATATGGAAGCCCAAATTTGAAATTTGGAATTCGTTTTATTATCGATTTCATATTTTTTAAATCATTAGCGAATATTTGATTAACAAACTCAAGGATTTCAAAGCGAGCCATGGCAACGTTGTACAGAAAAGAATTTTTTATCTCCAGCGCGTGAGTCTGCGTATCGGAAATTCTAAATTTAAACATTTATGTACTATTGATCTCCCTGCTGGCTCAGTTTATTAATTCACAGCAATTTATTGTTTAAGCAAACGATTTTTATTTTTTATATTAGCTTTCTACTGGTTATTGAATATGTATTAGATTTAAATATATTAATTTGTCATTGCCTAAGTTTATATCTATACATATATCTTCCTGTCTATCCATCTATTTATCTATCTAGCTATATAAATGTTAAGCTGATTATTGTTTATTCCTAAATTTTATATTGAAAGAAAACCTATATTTACCTCAAATTTATTCATTCATTTCGTTTTTTGCGTTCATCATCTCTTAGAAAGTTCTCAGTTTAGTACTTAAAGGGGAAAAATGATCCTGTGCCTTTTTTAAAAATTAGCCTATGATTTTCGATGCAGTGATTATCATTAATAAAATATGGTACTAAAAGCTTAATGTTATCACATGGGGGGTAGAGACATTGATTTTTGATATCATGTTCTGAAACTGAAACTATAAGAGCACAGATTTTAGAACCCCAGTGATCTTACGTTATGTATTTTTAAACCCTTAAATACATTTGAGGTTTAAGAATTTAAAACTAAACTTAGGGAAACACAAAAGTCTGGATGAACAAAGGTGAAGCAATGATAGCTTCAGTTTTATACAAAGAAACTTTTCCGTTGATGAAGTAATTCAAATAAAACCAATAGACTTGCGCAGGAATGATAAGAAAGACGATGGTGAAATAGACATGTGGAGATTGTATTATTCAAGCATGCCCGTAATGTGACACCTGAAAAGCTGCAAAACATCTATCAGGAAGTTCTAAGCTGGAATAAAGATAAGTATTGATACTGATGATAAGTATACTGAGCCTATTTAATTATTAGTACTAACATTTCGTTAGATCATTATTTTGTGTTGTTTTACTCTTCTTCATAATGTCCTACTGCAATACAAATTTATTATAAATTAAATTGTACCTCGCCGAGACGCGTTAGCTTTGTAAGTTAATTTGTATCCCCCTTAGAATAATCTCAACCCAATTAGTGATATATTTCTTCATGCGATCGGGTGCAAGTGAATTTATGTTTCAGTGTTTTTATTAAAGTTGCTGATGTATGAAATGCGTCATTTTGTACTAAATCGATGACGCTCTACCCATTTGCTCTTAACGGTTTTAGCTATCCCATATAATTTCCTAGATTGTGTTGCTAGTTGTAGAGGCTTGCAATCGATCTCATACGATACATTGTAGTTACTTTATTGTAGGTAAACTCAAGTTTCTCAAATATAGCTTAAAGACTGTGCATGACATGCATAGCAAAAATTTCCCGAAATTCAAAATAAATTTACCATTACTTTAACTAATACTATTTTAGACTACACACTATATAAATCGTTTCTTCAAGATATGAGAAGTATTTATTTTATAGTATGCGTCAATTGGTTTCTAAAGGGAGTTTTTTTGAGTTATATGCTTTTTTTTCCCCAGTCATCACTGAAGCTCCCTGCATTAACTCTCACGTATTCTAATGTTTTGTGAATCTATTCAGTTTAAAGTTCAAAGTATAATATTGAGACGATTTAGTTAGATTTAGTACAAATGAGTCATATTATCAAACTAATTCATGTAAGGTTCACTAGCGGGCGAACGGTAAAGTTGCTGAACACTAGCAGTTCAGTCCAGGGTTCGAATCTGAGCAAACGGGCTGGCTACATGGGCGCTTTCGTAGCTTTCTTCTTATGTAAAGGATATATGATCCAGTTTCCTTTAGAAAGTCCTCCACGAACGTCTCTCTATCATTAGACAGATATCTGGGAGTGCTTTGCCATAGTAAAATAAACCGTTCATATGAGAATATCTTAAAGGACAGCTATTTCTTTTTCATGTGAAAACGAAGAACGTTTACAGAATAGGATTTTACTTACTCATAAGACTGTCTTATATCTACAAGACAGTCTTATATTTGGCTAATATAGCACTATTTTGAGAATAGGCGGTACAATGGAGTTTTTAGGCTTGTGTGGGAACTGAATTTTGGCTGGTCAGTACAGGAGCATATCGAGCTGACTATTATACAGATCAAAAGGTAAAATTCTGCATGTAATCGTTTAAATAAACGGGCAAGATGTAGCCATATTTGATCAAATAATTGCAGATGATGACTGTTCTGATTTGCGTACTCAGGTTTTATATCTATCAGTATAGATTGTTTTCAATCAAATATAAAATACATGAGATCTCGTTAGGATCATCCCTACTTCGAATACTCAAAAGTTCTGATAATCCGTGAGATCATATTTAATTAATGTCACAGAGTATACAGTTTATTGCTAATAAACATACCAGAAATAAAATTTATTTGCAGCTTCCAGTTATAAAATAAATAACTCCAGGAAATAAAAGTGTTATTCGTTTTTGCGAATTAACGTCATATTAATATGGAAATGAATGTGTTATTTGCTATTGCGAAATAACACTTTACTAATATAATATTTCCAAATTTTTCGAAACCTAAGCTAACATTATACATACATTAGAAAAGTTATGTCTATTAAATAACTTTATGATTTAAATTAAATCATCAATTGCAGTTTGAAATATCCATAGCTTGCGTTTTGTTATTGTAATTTAAACTTCAAATTAGTTAATTATAAATTATTGTGCTAATTTAATTGTTAATTAAGAAGCCACTGCGCCTAAAATTTTTGAAAAATTCTTCTGGTCGTGTTTGAACAAATATAATCTTAATGAAAACTTCGTATATGTTTATAAAACAAATTTGGAAAGAAAATGCCTTATTTTATTGATGAGTTTGTAGGCCTTTTTCATTACTATTAATGACATGGATAAGATTGTATTATAATGCATTACGTTTTGAAGTTTTTTGGGAACACAAAACAAAGCTTTTAAGAAAACTTGAAATCTGGTCTCTCAAAATCATTCAATATTCTAATGAAAATTAAAGTTTTATGTATGTTTTTATAGTCTTTTTGTTATTAAGTTTTCTGAGGTATAATAAGCATTTTTAGGCATTAGAAGGCAAAACATCATTAGTAAATAATCAGCAATAATAGAGAAAAAAATACTTTACCCCTATCATTTTGTAATTCTTGAATTCTGGAGTGTCGTTATCAATGGGTATTAACCGGAAGAACTTTTCTCTACTTTTAATTAAAAGCATCAAAAGTACAAAAATGATGAAAAAAAATTAGTATGGAAAGAATGGTAACAGAAAATAAAACTAGAGACAAATATTTCTTAGTTTATAAGCAGATTTATTTGCATTTTTTAGGTTACTAATTCAAAGAGAAAAAATGAGACGATGCCCATCATAAAAGATTGCAAACTTCATCTGTGTTCTGATATATGCCTGCGGTTGCAAGATCTAAAAGGATCAAATTTTTTTGCAGTTTGTATTAGAGCATTTATTTTAGTCAATTCCGCGTACCATTGTCATTTTTATCCTTATGGATGGATGTTTAAAATATTAATGTTTCTTCCTCCATTTTACAGTTTTAAATGTTATCTGTATGTATCTTTTAATCAATCAATAAACACTTATTGATAAAAGTGACTGTTTTGTGTGTTTTAATACCCTACAATAAATGTTACTATTTTTAGAATATAGATTAAATATTAAAATACTTAAACCTGGACAAAATTTAATGTTGAATTAGATTTATTAGTTTGGATTTCATGTAGAATCTCTATACATATCTATCAATACGTGTTAATGTCTTTGGTAATGCAGGTTTTCCACAAAAGCAAATTCAATCTCAGTTTGAATTTTGTCTAATTTTAAATTTAAAATCCGAGTGTTCGTCTTCCATTCAGTGAAATCATTTGCTTGAACACTTATGAACAACGAGGTCGAGGTTATTACAGAGTTCTCGTATTATTAAAGTTATTAGTTAAAGGTTAATTTTATTACAGACATTTATCATATTTTATTACAGACTTCGCTTTACCATTGCCTTAAAAATGATATCGACTGATCATTTAGGTAAAACATTTCACAAAACTAAGCAATGAATACTGTACAAGATCAAGTGGATACTCTGGAATACCTTCATTAATATCGAAGGTATTCCAGAGCTCTCGAAGAATTAAAGTTATTTGTTAAATCTTCCTTTTATTTATTGAGTATATCATGCTATGCTTCCAACTGTCTTTTTGTGGATTTAAAAGTCAGATCAACATGTCATTTAAGCAACACATTTTACAAAAAAAAAAAAAAAAAAAAAAAAAAAAAAAAAAAAAAAAGACATTAAATATTGTAAACAATAAACTGGATAAAAGGTTCTTGAAAGTACTACACGGAATCTAATGAATATTTTAGATAACTACACGGAGTACAAGTATTTTTAATATACGATGTTTAAAAAGTTTTGTAGATTTCATTGAAAACGTTTACAAATATAGTTTTCTTGCAAGTAAAAAAAAAATGCGCTGATAACAGCAGGAAGCGTTGCCTTTGTTTCTGCAAGATTATATTGAAGTTAAAAATGAGTCTCACTGGAAATTTCATAAACTAGGTCCCGTGAGAACCAATAAATTTACAATCTGCAAGAGCCACGAGGTTCTTAATTTCATATTGTCTTATAAATTTCGACCAGAATTTGTGTGAAATAAATATCGGTCAGATGGCCATCTGCATCAACGCAAAGTTTTCGAAAGATAGGAAAAGCAGATAAAAAGTACCTATACCTTCTATCTGGATATTAAATAAATAGCTTGATATTAGACACTTTAAAGAACTCCACTAAGAAGCAGACTTACTTAAAGGTCATATGTGGGTTGAACAGATTGTGTGCTATTCAAGTTCTGAGACGTGACAATGATAGGTAAACAGTTATCTCAATACGTTACAAGTTATCTTAAAGCTATGTGGGTATTAGGGTAAGGCAGTTTCTAATCTTTGAATCAGAAGGAGCTCAAAAGGAATGTTGTCTGCTTCCACATTCATCAAACTGACAGTTCTTGATTTTATTGCCTGGGATTTTATGGGTGTATTAACAGGTGTATAGGTGAAGATTATACATACTGACTAAGTGAAAAGTACACACTGCATTGGAAAATGTTTCCCGATTGAAAAGAATATATCGGGAATATATGCATAAATGGATAGAGAACGTACTTTTACTTTTTTTTCACGCCATTGACAGAAAAGCTGGCTCACTGATTTACATGCTGTTCAGCCTGTTGGATCCCATCGATGGAATTAAAAAAAAATATTGAGCTTAGTAGTGTGTCCTTCGAGAATTGAATACGTAAAGAACACTAAAACAAGGACGATCACTTATCTTGAGCGCTGCAAAGTTGCTGTTGCTTGTAAGGAGGTCCTGTCACTGTTAAATAAGCAAGTAAATTTAAAAATAAAACTTATGCTGTAGATGCTACATTACCAAGGGCTTCTTTGCAAATTGGTAATAGGTTATGTACTTCTGCTAATTCGATACACATTTTAGTTAATTTTTCACTATTATGATATACGTTAGGCATACAAATATAATAAGGACAGATTATAAATATAGGTACAGTTGTATATAGATACATTACAAATCATGAAGAAAAAGAAATTACAAATTATGTTAATAAAACTGTGCATCTATATAGGTTGCGTTTACATTATGCAAACACTAATGGCAAGTTATAATGGCAATATTGCGGATTCATATATTCATATTATGCACTAATAATAATTACAAATATATCAAATGAGTGCTGAACTCAGAGAACTGCATTAACGTAGTTAATGTCATGTTAGGTACTATATGAATTTAAAAAATACGATAACCGATAGAGAACGCACTAAAATATATTTCCTGATACCTATGAACTGTGTTCTTCAGAAGTGTTAGTTTCATCAATATAAACATTTTGTCCATGAAATTGATTGCGATTTTTGAAGCACTTTTATTGTGTTATTGCAAAGTCGTGTAATAATAACGTAACGTTTCTCAGCGTTCGTTATTCATGCTCTTCCAAATTAATATTATTTCTATTTATTACTGAAGACCATTAGACTATTATAAAACTACCAGACCTAGTAAATTTGTATACATAAAACTAAAATTAGCCGAAAATTTAATTAGTACAATTTACTCTATAATGACATCATCTATACGCCAATTTAACTTAATTAGCTGTCTATTAGGAATCTGTTAGGAATTTATTAGGAAATTTTGTCTAGTTAATTTAGCTGTCTATTAGGAAAATATGACAGAACAAGGGCTATCTCATACCCACATATTATTTTATCTTTGTATAAGCGAGTAGCTGAATCAAAAAGGTAACCGAAGATGTGAGCAAATATCTGAAATTACAATTATCGAATAAATATCTTGGAAAAAACATAAAGTAGGAAATTGGAGAAAAATACCAGCGAATATTAAGTACTTAAGTTTCAGTTCCTTAAATCTCGAAAGTCAGCATTTTAAATTAATATTAGCTGCTAAATGTTAAATTAACCAATTTTTAGCATGATACTATCCGGGAAAAAAAAGTTGCGCTACCAAATCTAGAAAACAGTAGTGCGAAATTACCAAGCATATGTATCAAGTTTAATGATTGGTTTGGTTATGGTAAAGCAAGCGAGGGCTATCTGCCTCAGAGGAAGGATGCCTTCGTGGAGGACTTTCTAAGGGATACTGGTTCGTATATACGGTGCACAAGGGAAAACGTCCATGCAGCCAGCTCTTTCGCGGGATTTGAACCTCGGACGGAAATACCAGTGTTCAGTGATTTTACCACTCGGCCGCTGGTGGATATCAGTTCTGACCGGTTTAGCAGGATCCTAGTGGGCATTCTATAAATAAAATCATCTACTGAAAAGAAGCTCTTTTGAGGGTTGACTTCAGTAAAATACAGGATGTTCGTGGCTCATAATTTCCTGTGATCACTAACACCATGTCGTTTCCTAACACAGAAACTTCAAAATTTTTACAAGTTATAGCACAGCCTGATCGCTATCCGCTGGCGCTGTACTCGAATGTGCTTAGAAAAACGTTAAAATATAAACGTTCGTTTAGAACAGGTGTTTCACTTCTACTTCCTAAGTAAGGTATCGGATTTAACGCTATGTCGTTTGATGTTCATGGTAGCTGTATTCATTAAAGAGAGAGCAGTTCAAATAAATATTTCACTGAATATGTTGGATAATTACAGTACTTGAGTCATCTCTGTACTAGATTTTCGGACAAGTAAATAGGTATTGTTATGAATTTTGCGTAAGTCTAAATAATTTTGGTGAAATTATACGTGGAATTGTAGTACTTTTTGTACACTCTAACATGAAATGCTTGAAAAAGACGAAGCTCTGCCGGGGAAATAAGATGGAATAAGGAAATAAATGGGTAAGTCTATTTAACATGGAGGTAAATGGCCGTCTCACTAAACTGGCAGATATCCCCCCAATCTGGCGATGTTTTTTGCGACTAAATTTTGTCCCCAAATTTGACTAGAAATCGCCAAAAGTCTCCAACCGTAACGACCTTTTGGATGGACTTTGGTCAGGTTCCTTTATAACTGTATTGCAAATGAATAAATGTAATTGATCCCTATATGTAACTATAATCGTATCCATCCCTCATATACCTTATAGTAATTTCATGAAATGGAAGATACTAGAGCTTTCTCAGCGGATAGGAGAAAACCATATAAGACCGAGGAGAACATCATTTTCTCAGTTTTTAGCTTAGAGCTGAATTCGGAGTATTGAGACATCTGTTTGAGTTTTGTCTTTTAGGTGCGCTTTGCATTGCGTTACGTTTAATGTTCTTAGTAGTTTGAAGTACTGATTGTACTTTGTGATACTGTGGGGACTGTACGAGTATTTTCGTGGAAATTTTTTGGTAAATTAATTTCATCAAGTTATTCTAGGTAAGTGTACCTTGAATTCATAACGAGCGCGTACGTACACAACAATCTAATTATAACTATCATTTGCTCCTAATTATTACATAATCCTTAAAACACCATATTGCGTTTGAAAAGCGTTAACGCCCAGCTCAGTCTGGCCGTTGCGAAGAAACCAAAAAAAGTGCTTAGAATTTAAAAATTTTTTCTAGCCACTCATATATAAAAGAATATTTGGATAGTCTTTGCTTACATATATAACGCTATCGCGTCATGCGATTTCATCGTGCTGCAACTCATCAGCATGTGCTCAGTTAAGCAAATTTAGGCCGCCATAAATTCTTAACAAATGCCAGGAATGAAGAAATGTGGAATGTAACAAAATTCCTTATTATTAAAACATCTCGAATGTTATAAATATATGAAACTGCAAAACTTTGAACTCTTTGAAAGGAATAAATATTTGTATTTTCATTCTTCCCATTTCATTTTATTTACTATCTACTGAACTAAATCAGAGGTAAAAATACATTGCAGGAATAAAATATATTTTAAAACGATATAGGAGTTTTGTCCACTAAATTTTAGTAACCAGACTGATTGTCAAATTAGTTTCCGGAAGATTTCATAAGCGTATTTCATGCACTTGCCGAATTTAAAAATCGAGAAGATAGAATATTTGAATTATATTTTTGCAAAATCTGTTAACATTCTGCG